CTTTCCTTTAAAGTAAAGGAACAAGGTTTTACTATAAAAATTCTTTCAACTGATGTAAACTTAGACTCTCATTAGAATTACATTTCATTTCTTTGATTATTGGAGGTGAAATACCTGCTCATGTCATAAAAACTTTTTAAAATTAAGATATAATTTACATAGAGTAACTTCACCTTTTTAGTGCATAGTTTTATGCTTTAACAAATATAACATCTGTAGCCACTGCTAAAATCAAGGTATAGCAAAGGCAGTTGCATCACCCCCAAAACTCCTCCAGGCCTCATTGTAGTCGATTCATACCCTGCACCCCAGCCTCCGGCCATAACGGATCTGTTTCTGTCCTGTAGTTTTTTGGTATCCCAGAATGTCATATAAATGGAATCCCACACTGTGCTGTTCACTGTACCAGTTTTTTTTTTTTCTTTTCACTAAGTACACTGTTGTAGGGATATACAATTTACCTTTTTGCCTCTTAAAGAATTTCTGGGTTATTCACAGTTTTTTTTATGATTATGAATAAAGCCACTACAGCCATTCACACGTAGGCTTTTGTGTCAACCTAAGTGTTCTTTAAAACAAAATATTTTTATTGACTTCAGAGAGGAAGGGAAAGGGAGAGATAGAAACATCAATGATGAGAGGGACTCATTGATCGGCTGCCTCCTGCATATCCCACGAGTCCACAACCTGGGCATGTGACCTAACTGGAATTGAACCGTGACCTCCTGGTTCATAGGTGGATGCTCAATGGCTGAGCCACGCTGGTTGGATTAAACCTAACTTTTCATTTCTCTTGTGTAATACCTAAAACTGGGATTGCTGGGACATAGCTTAAGTATATTTTTAGCTTTATAAGGAAGTAACGAACTGTTTTCCAAAGTGACTGTACCATTAGTGTTCCTATCACTAATGCATGAGAACTCCAAGTGCTCACACCTTTGTCAACGAACAATATTGTCAGGTTAGAAAAAAACAACAACCTTTAGCCATTCTAATATGTTGGTAGTGAAATCCTTTGTGGTTTAAATTTGCATTTTCTTTTTTCTTTAAATTCTCACCTGAGGATATTTTTTCCATTGATTTCTAAAGAGAGTGGAGAGAGGGAGGAAGAAGAGGAGAGAGGGAAACATCCACATAAGAAAAACACATTGATTGGGCTGGGGAACCTGCAACTGAGGTAGGTGCCCTTGACTGGGAATCAAACCCAAGATCTTTCAGTCCATGGGCCAGCACTCTAACCACTGAGCAAAATTGCCAGGGCTAAATTTGCATTTTCATAATGACTAATGATGCTGTGCGTCTTTACATGTGCTTATCTGCCATCCATATATCATCTTTGGTGAGATGCCTGCTCAAATATTTGTCCATTTAAAAACTGGACTGTTTGCTTATTTTTATTATTGAATTTACTGTATTGAATTCCTAGAGGCCCAGTGCACGAAATTTGTGTACTTGTGGGGAGTGTCCCTCAGCCAGGCCTGCACCTTCTTGCAGTCCAGGAGCCCTTCGGGGATGTCCAAATGCTGCAGAGGTGGGAGAGGCTCCCACCACCACTGCTGCCCTTGCCATTAGTACACACACATGCACACACACACACACACACACACACACTATGGTGTACACCTAAAACGAATACAATGTTACATGTCAATTATATCTCAATAAAACTGGAAAAAATTTTAAAACTAATAACAACAAATTTCAAGACAATAAAATATTCTGGCATTCAAGGAGTATGGAAGAGAAATAGAAATAACATGTATTTTCAATAAGATGTAAATGATTAACAAATAGTCAAGAACTTTAGCCTCACCAAATAAATTAATAAAAAATTTAAAAACAACAACCAAAAATGTATTGAGCACCTGCTATGTGAAACCAACACAGTGTCAGGAAGGGCAGGGAGGAAACAAAGGTGGAAAAATCCGCCTCCTGCACTCTCAAGTGAGGCAGATCAACATGGCAGAATAGCAGGTAATAAAGGCAAAATGAAAAGCCAGACATCCTTGAACTGGTCCAGGGCATGTGGGAACACAGAATCAACAACTGGGGTGGGGGTGGGGGGCACTTGAGCACGTTCTGTGGCCTGAAAATAAGGAAAGAAACGGTCCAAGCTGAAGGTGTGGGCAAAAACTTGGAGCTGCAGGCAGCAAACATCAGGGGCTAAACCAGCCGTGGGCAAACTATGGCCCGTTTGAAATGAATAAAACTAAAAAAAAAAAAAAAAAAAAAAAAAGACCGTACCCTTTTATGTAATGATGTTTACTTTGAATTTATATTAGTTCACACAAACACTCCATCCATGCTTTTGTTCCGGCCCCGCCGGTCCAGTTTAAGAACCCATTGTGGCCCTCGAGTCAAAAAGTTTGCCCACCCCTGGAACAATAGGCAGGCAGGAAGAACAGTGACCCACTCCAAATTGCCACTGCAGATTGACACCTGCTGCAGCTGGCACCAAGCCCTGCGTCCACTAACGTCCAGGTGGCCAGTCCCACTGATCAAGCCTTCCTCTCTAAGTGGAAGGAAAGAGGGAGGAAAGGCTGTTGAATTCTTCAGTTGCAGCTGTGAGCAATATCCAATCTTATACCTAGACATCTGTTTACTTCAAATTACCAGCATGAAATTAAAACACAAAGTTTGGCCCAGAAAATTCATTCCTTAGTATATACCCAAGAGTTGAAAACATATGCACACAAAAAAAGTGTACAGGAATGCTCATAGCATTTATCCACAGTAGCCAAAAAATGGAAACAACCCAAATTGCCACAAATTGACAGAAATGCGGTATACCCATACAATACTTATTCAGTCATAAAAGAGAATGGAAGAAACCAGACCCAAATGGCTCCTTAGCCCATGTACGGAAAAGTGGCAGAAGAGACAGAGCAATAGAGACAGAAAGCACATTAGCGGTTGCCAGGGGTTGGGGTGGGAAATGGGAAATGACTGTCTAATGCAGTGGTTCTCAACCTTCCTAATGCCGCGACCCTTTAATACAGTTCCTCATGCTGTGGTGACCCCCAACCATAAAATTATTTTCGTTGCTACTTCATAACTGTAATGTTGCTACTGTTATGAATATCTGATGTGCAGGATGTATTTTCATTGTTACAGGTTAAACACAATTAAAGCATATGATTAATCGCAAATACAATATGTAATTATATATGTGTTTTCCCATGGTCTTAGGCGACCCCTGTGAAAGGGTCGTTTGACCCCCAAAGGGGTCGCGACCCACAGGTTGAGAACCGCTGGTCTAATGGAATCCGGGTTCCTTGTTGGGTGATCAAAATGTTCTGGAATTAGTGGTGATGGTTGCAAACTTCCGTGAATAAACTAAAAACCAAATGAATCATGCACTTTTAAAGGGTGAATTTCATTGGGGTACTTCAGTAAACAGCAAAGGTTGGGTTTGAAGGGCGGAAAATACAGCCTTGGGGGTCTTTTCCCCGCTTTGTCTCTAAACTACACGTGGGCCATAGGCTCTTCTTCGGGCCTCCGGGTTTTCGGCCAACAGGCCGCTGGAGACAGCCCAACTGGCCACACCCCCGACAAACCCACGCCGCGGGCCACTCGCAAGGCGAGCGGCGGAGGCGCCCGACTCCACGGAACCCGGTAGTTACTAGGCAACAGGGGAAGTCCGCCTCCTAACCTAACCAATCAGGCACGTCTGCCCACAGCGCGAGAGCCTCGCGTACGTCAAACGGGGCGGGGCCTCACACACCCCGGGCCCCCGAGAGCCCAGGGCTTGCAGCATCCGCCCCCACCGCTCCGCCTGGCCAATCGGAAGGGA